TAATGCTTCTTACGGGGATCGTGCCGAGTTGAGTAAATTTAACCCTTACTCTGCTATTGCTTGTGTTGTCATCCAATGCCAGTACCAAAGTAATTCCTTTCCATTCATACTTTCATTAACAATGTGTATACCCAATGTTAAAAGGTGTCACATCTTATGACAGTTCACAATAAGGCACATCAAGCAACTTCCAACACCTCTCAACCACAATAATAAGTCTGTAATCTAACAAACATCTCTCTGTGCGTCTATGTTGTGTCTCTTTCTCTGTGTTCACTCTCTCTGCTTGTCTGTGTGTCTGTGTTTTGTCTCTCTCTCAAATTTAGGTCTAACTGATGACGACTGCTTGTGTTGCAATCGTAATGTCGTATTCTATTATTTAATTTATTTTCTTTCTACGTGACTTTACCGAAAGGACCAAAAAATAATTCCTGCAGTCACGAAAGTTTCAAATCAAGTTCTAACAAACACTTTGGCATCAACCACAAGAACTCCATCATAACACTACACAAGTCGGAATGTTTGTTGCATTAAAATCCACTAGACACTGCTATATGCACGAACATGGGTCAATCTGCCAGGGCGCTGGTGGCTATACTGCACCTAGCCCTACAATACAACACTGTGGAGGTAGCAAGGGATGGTGGTTCACACGCGCATGCATTGTGAAACCCAATCCCTGCTTGGGAACCTCGCCATCTCCTGGTTTGTCAGGGGTTATGGCAGAAGAGCAATTGGATTAATGTCTGTCTCTGCAACGATTGGTGTTATCCACCCTTGCACAAATGCATTTCCTCTGGGTGCCCCGATTTACTCCCACGTGTCAGCGTTCATGAGTGGAGTTGGCCAAACATCCCAATTTAGGCCCAAACATCTTCGGAAAAAAATTGTTGCTGCCAGTTGCAGTTGTCTTCCGAAGAACTACTCTGGTTATATCCCGTACAACTCGATGCGAAAACTGCGCTTACAAACCGTATGGCGTTGAGATACAAGTCGCACAAAAAGTTTAGTTATTTTTAAAAAGGTGCCTTCCTTAAAGTGAGGCACCTGCTAAATACATTGTTATTCTGCGATACGACTTTCGAAACGTGCAATTAGAACAATCAGGTTAATCTAAAACCATACATTTTGTGACACTTTAAATCTTCATCCGTGAATGCCAGGCTGAACAGGTCCAGCACGTTTAAGTTTTTATGTGAAAGTCAGGCAGAGCCTTATCTGATGAGGTAGAGAACTCCACGTAAGCAAAATACTGGGCCGCACAGATGTTTGTAGTCACACCCTCGGGAAGTTGAGCAGTCCCTTGTCAGTGGATTCAAGCAGTCGGAAGGGGCGGTAAGCAGAACGGAGACCATTCAGGTTGCGGGGGTGCCTGGTTGTGGAGCTTTATTGGTCATTAGACCGACCTTGAAGGTGACGGCACCATGACACTGGAACAGCCGATGTGGACCCATGTCCTTCACACTAGGACGTACCGTGGAGCTGATCTGTCCATAACAGACGACCATCGGCGTGTCATCTGCAAGATGTGCCCTGCATTCTTCCACTACAGTGGTGGGTGTCTCAGCTAGTTGATCAAAGTTGCATGCGAGAATTTCATCATCGCTTGCAGCAGGGGTTGGCATTGTCCCCCCCAAACCACTCCTGATGCCGGGGGGAAATGGGCGAGGTTCGGGACAGTGGTTCATGCAGCTGCATTGGCTGACAGAGGAGGTGTTCTGGCTTGCTGAGAAAAAGCGACAAGCCCACTCCCACCATCCACAGCATCCCACGTCGGACAATTAGGTTTACCAGAGCCTTCTCTCGGAGGGTTCAACCACAACCAACTAGAACTCAACACCATAAGAAGATATTGCCCGGCCCAAAGGACATGTGCAGCTGCATAGCAGTGAAAACAAAGCGTACCGCCTAATAATGTATCTCAATGGCAACATACACAGCGCAAACATGGGTTGCTCAAATGGAGCCCTGTGGCACCCCATACAGGAGGAATAAAACCCAGACTACTCGCTTTATCCTACTCTCGAGGTAAGGCCGAAACCACCTCAGGACAGTGCCGGACGATCCACAATTGAAGTTCAGGTACTCCAACAGTACGACATGGTCCAGTGTCGAGTGGCATGGAGAGATCACGAGAACCAAGATAAAACGTGTATTCCGATCTCTCGCTATTTGGAGAATAAAGTATCAAAAAGCCATCTTGGTAAAAATCTTCTTCTGAAATCCTGACTGGAGAAAATCATGAAGCTTAGTGCTTACTCTTTGGTTCTATTCGGTAAAGTCACGTAGGTAAAAAATAAAAAAAAATCACGACGTTTCGGCCACAACACAAGTGGCCTTCATCAGGTGAACGGACCAAACTGTCCAGAGGACAGTGTTGGAGTGAAGAAAGCCAAGCGCAGGTCGCCTCCTTTAAGCTGTGAGGGGATAAACAAAAAACGCCTTGACAAAGGAATTAGCATAAAATGTACTACTGTGAAAGCTTGGTATTACCATAAAATGACATTACACCACTGTGAGAGTTTGGAATGCCACTACTTGAATAAATGCACTGTACCACTGAAAATTAGTTTAATGTTTGGTTCGATTTAGAACAGCTTTCCAACGGTTGCTTAATTTGAAACCATCTTCTCGGTTGAAATTGTGTCTGTGTTTGTAAATCTGAATTGCCTCGTGGACAAATCTCTGATAAAAACCCGTGGGTTTGCAGAGGACCTTGGTATAGGAGAAAACTATATCGGGACCACCCACAGCATTGTAACAGTGATCGGCTACGGCAGAAGAATTCCTTCTGCCGTGTTTCAAATCTGATTTGTGCTCGCGAATTCGGTCAGAGATATGTCGTTTAGTCTCCCCGATATAGCAGTCACCACAGGTGCAGATCAATTTGTAAACCCCGGGGTACTGTAAGTCAGGAATGACATCCTTCACGGAAGGGATGAGGTCACAGATTTTGTGTACTGTATTGAATCGGACCAGGATCTTGTGTTTGTTTAGAATTTTGGAGATCTTTTTAGTAACGCCTGCTATATATGGTAGTGTGATGGTTTTGATCGGAGTATGAAGTGGTTGTTTCTGTATGGAGGGAGAAACAGCTTGGCGGATGGTACGGTCAGAATATCCATTCCTTTTGAGGGCCAGATGTACATGTTTTAATTCACTTTATCGAATAGAACCAAAGAGTATGGATCATTGCAGTCACGAAAGCTTCAAATCTAGAAGCTTAGTGCTTCTTTAGTGCCCATTCTGTTTCTCTTCCCTACCCTCGCCCCTCCACTCCTTCCCGTCCTTCCCCTACCCTTTCATGATCCCTAAGTATCTTGTATCGTGGTCACACATTGCTCAACCCTTGCAAGCCCCTGCCCTCTAAATAATTCCATTCTGTCAGTGTTTTTTCTAAAACTACATTAAGCGTCTTGAACAAAGGCGCCCCCATAAGCATTAAATTAGATTAGAATTAGATTCGACACTTGGATAGACAAATAATTATCTAACTTCTGTGCAACCAGCTTCTCAATAACCGAACCTAGAAAGGGCAGGTGAGAGACCAGTCTGTAGCTATAAAGAATATCTGGCTCAAGGGAGGGACATTTCAATGATTGCCCGGACCAGTCTGATGTTATCGATGTACCCCACAAGGAGGTGTGCTGGACCATTATCCAGACTACAGTTGGCTGGCCGCAATATCTGAATGATCCTCACAACATCCATCATCTGGTTGGCCAAAGTCAAACCGGACAGACTTGTTACAAGTGTAAAGACAGTACAGGGGGCGAAAGCCCACAGGGGGTAATGACAGGGGAATTGGCATGGGAAGAGACTAGGGGCTACAAGGGGTAATGACAGGTTAAGGGACAGACAGACAGGGGAATGAGCTGAGGTCTACGAGAAGGACCAAGAATAGGGGCTGTTGCCAAGTGATAGAAGGGGACAGGTGTGAAACAAGGATCAAGAGCCAGCAAGAGATTTCGAGACTAGGGGCGTGGCCAAGGGTCAAGGGATGGACCTGCTGGGGATAAAAGGCGTCGAGAGGAGAGGCTCGGGGCTGTTGCTGGAGTCGGGGTTTTCGCTGTCAAGTGATTGTGTCTCCTGGAGTCGTTACACAAGCAACCTCCCACCCATCTCCACCGCATCCCTTAGAGGGGGGTCAGATAGATGCCAGACCTGACGGTGCCAATCTTATTTGCAAATAAATCGAAGCTATGCACATAACAAAAGAAAACAAACTCAATTGGGATTACACGCAACATTTCCCGCGGATTGTGGAACTACTGCAGACTGCCTCTGGAACACAGTACGCTCCCCCTTCGTGATAGCCGTGTACAGGACTACTACTACTATGCTTGCTTACCTAGGAATGCGTCCAAGTGTAGAAAAGGGTGATTTTGCTGCGTGTCACCCAATTGGGTAATTTTCAGGTTAGTTTTCAGCAGAGAAGTTTGGCCATTTACAGTAACATTGCGTGTGTGAGTATTTAGCTATGAGAGGAAACCAGAGAACCCATAGAAACCCACACAGAACAGGGGAAAAACAAACTCTGCACAGAAAGGTGCTCGAGTAGGAAGTCAAACCAAGGCCTTTCTTGCTGTGAAGCACAAGTATTATCAATGCGCCACCCTGCGAATACAAAACGTTCTAAAGTGTTATTATTATTATTGTAAAACGAGGGTGCAGATGTGGGAAGGTGTTGTGGGCTATGGTGAGTGCTGGCTACGTGGCGGGGGGCATGCTGCACACGTGCCTGGCACCGGCGTGCGTACGCAGGTGGTCCCTCAGGTGGTGCTTGAGGCGGAAGCCTCGGCCGCAGTGCTGGCACGCGTACGGGCGCTCCCCCGTGTGGGTGCGCGTATGCCGCACCAGGTCTGATGACTGCAGGAAGCGCTTCCCGCAGGTGGCGCACGCGTACGGGCGGTCGCCCGTGTGTGTGCGCCCGTGGATCTGCAAGTACCGACGCTGCGTGAACGTCTGCCCGCACGACTGGCACTGGAAGGGTTTATCACCTGGGTATGCAGTGGCGGTGGCTTCATCAGCCTGCTGCTGTTGCTGGAGAGGAGCCCCCAAGTTGGTCGACCAATTACGCCGAACCTTGCGAGCTTTCTTTTGCCCAGGATGCTGCTGGTGCTGCTGCTGTTGCTGCTGCTGCGGTTGCTGCTGTTGCTGCTGCGGAAAACGCCCATTTCCGCCACCTCCGGCAAAGTCATTTCCGCTGACCTCTCCAGAGTAGCCACAATTCCCATCATCTAAGTTCCCCAGATACCCATGGGAGGACTCCACATGACTGGGCTGCTCCATGACAGCCACTTTCCGGTCTTCCTGGTGGACCTCCGGCAAGAAGTAGCGTCCATCTTCCCCGCTCACACCTTCATTCTCACCTGCACATCAGAGCATTCAAATTTAATCGCACTGCTATACTTTGGAATTCTTTCTAGTTTGTATTTTCAAAGCTCTCATTAAAACCTCGCTCAATTTGAAATAAATTTGTTAGCATTTATCAATTACAAGTTGTATAGCGCCATTTGCTGCTGGCTGCTTGATGTATCGGGCCTCCGAGCCTGTGCTCAGGGACTATGTAAAAGAACAACTTACCCACTGTCCACTAAATCAAGCACAGGGAACAAAAATGGTGTGGGGCCACTAGAATGCAGGTTTATGGACATTAGGGAGATTATAATAAAGTTAAAACTTTTTAAAGAATATATCCTTGTTCGTGCCAAACCAAGCAGTAGCTCGGAGATGTTAACTCCCTTGCCTGGTATACAGGTCATGGGTTCGATCCCGACAATGATGCCTGTATATTTGGAGTTTGCGTTTCTCTCTCTCCTTAGTCATGTGGATTTTTCTCCGTTTTTTTTCATCCACATTTAGAATAAAAAAACACGTTAAAAGTATTTGGTTGCTACAAATTTCCACATGATAAGCCACTTCGTTGAGCTATCAATTGTGGCCAGGTCACTTCTGGTCTGTCTGTATGTCTCCGTGTCTATGTTTTGTCTCTCAAATTTAGCCATCGTTGGAAGAACGTAATCAACCAGGTGGGGTGTTGACTGTTTTGTTAGCCGACTTTGTGTTGTATTGTTGTATATTTCCAAGTTTAGTATGTTTGTTTTCTCATTCATTTGTACCTGATGATGGTTGCGTGTGTTGCAATCGAAACTGCGTATTATTTTATTATTTTATTTCTTTCTACGTGACTTTACCAAAAGAACCAAAGAGTTTAGTTTAAGCAGTCACACCCCACATGTTTATTCTACCCACGTAAAAAAATTGCTTTAAGTACATTTAATTACCAGAGGTGTGTGCAGGGAAAAATACATTAAAGTATATCCCAAAGCTTTTAAATCTATATTCAGAGTTTGCAATAACAAAATAGTTTTTTTGTGTACATATTGTAATTAGATCACTTAACCCTTGCAGGCAATAGAAATACTACAATACAGCAGATTGTAAAAATACTTTCAATTTTACATTCCTATGGCAGGGGGTAGTCAATCCATAAAAAAACAATTGATCCTTATGGCAGTACCCTGGGGTACCAAATAATACAAAATGGCTGAGGCAATTAAATATTTTATTTCTGGGAGACTTTTTTCCAGGGGTGTACTTAACTCCGCGACTGGGGTAGCAATCAATCCAAAATCAATGCTACTCCGCGATGTCGAAACGCAGCGAGGACGATTGCGCTGGAATCCCGAACGCTCGTATGCACCGTGTACAGCTCGTCGAGATGAGTCGATTGCTGCATCACCGACCATCAACAGACTAAAAATGACTGCATCATGGACATTATGCGAGAGCCGGGGTACTATGGTACCTCGGGATACCGCCATAAGGTTCAATTGTTAACTTCTCCGCAACATGATAGTTATTTCATCGACCTCGGAAGAATGATGGGCTGATTCGACATGTAACCAGGATTTGAATTCGCAACCTTCCAATTGTGAACCGCTCGCTCTCCCACTGAGCCACCTGGCTGCTTAGTTGCAAGCAATGTAAATTAGAGTAGAACCCCTCTTAACGACCACCCCTGTTAACGACTAATCGCTTAACGACGAGCCTCCATAGAGCCCAATGTGTTACCTACCATTTCCCTGCTAACGACGGGCTGTTGTATGTACAGTAAATAGGAATTAATGCATTGATTAACCATGTTTCTTTTAATGTGTTTATAATGTTAGTATCTTTATGTATTAATATCCATTGTTAAAATATTACAAAGTACGTTTTTTGGGTGGAGGATACTGTGCTACCCTAGGATGAGATACTACTTAGATAGATCGCAGTACAATCCAACGGGCCACCCAAGTTATTAATGTGCGTGGGTTAACCGTAAACATGGACGTCATTTGCTTCAAGTTGAAGAACCTGTGACGTCATTAGAAAATAATAGGCCATTGCATGCCAGTATCACGGTCCGAATTGACCAAATTCTAAAAATCACTCGCAAATAACTCAACTGAGATTCACATAGCAACCATCGCCCCCTACTGGCAGACTAATGCCCACTTGCAGGCCAGATACTGAGGCAGTTCGTATTGCACAGTGATGAGATATTAAGTTGCTTATCACGTGTGAAGCGCTCTCAGATGCCGTGGCATAAAGAGCACTATAACAGAACATAATTATTTTTACTTTACTTCTGTCACAAGCACTGTAACAAATATCCAGATACTTTCTGGCTCATTCTACCACCTGGGCTGTGGCTGTATGAATGCAGCAATCTACAGAGCATCTACACTGTCAGTCTGCTCCAGGGACCTTCGTCAAGCATCATCGCCTGGATAGGGCTGCCTCGGCTGAGGCCAGTTTTAGTCACGTGTTTCTCCACCATAGTTCATGCCTCATCCTCCTTAAACTGAGTAATGGACCTTGGTCTTCCTGTGCTTAGTAGTGCTGGTATCCCAGGATTATATACATTGGCACATGCACTTTGTAATGTAACAATAATCTGTTGCGGCACGAGAGGCCCCTGTACATCGTGATGTACTGCGATGCACTGCTCAGAGAGTTTGGAAAGAAAACTTCAACATTAGAGCCCACAGCACAAATGGTGATACAGTTGATAGAAAAAAGTAAAGGGCGCCACGGTGGCAAGATGTTAACTGTCTCGCCTGGTATGCAGGAGGTCGTGAGTTCGATCTTGACCCTGACACCTGTATACAGTAAAACCTTGGATTGCGAGTAACTTGGTCTGCGAGTGTTTTGCAAGACGAGCAAATTTTTTAAATAAATTTTAACTTGATAAACGAGCGAGGTCTTGCAATAAGAGTAGTACGTATACGCTTTGTCTGCCGATCGTCACGTGATCACAATTGAGCTGATGGTTCTTCTCTCTCTCTCTCGCTGCGGGATTGTGGGTAATCGTCTCCCATGCTCGGTCTCAGTCAGCGTGCCTCACTCGTATAGTCAACATCCGTGCGAGCGTATACTGTTTACTATAGTGTTGTGACCACGTGTGTGTGCGTAAAGCATTTTTTCATTTTGTGTCCAAGTGTAATGACTGTTCTTTAGTAACTGTACTGCAACAATGGCCCCCATGAAATCCTCAAAAGGAGGCAAAAGCAAGTGTCATTGGATAGGTTCCTTGTTAAAGTCGCACAAAAAGAAAAATATTCCGGTGAGCCAACAGATAGCAGTGATTCCGTTAGTGACAGTGAAAGTCATCCTACACAATAACCCTCCTCCTCTCCCTCGTCTCCCTCACACCAGCCATGATTAAATTTAATTAATAAATTTGATTACTTTATATTAAATTTAAATAATAAAAATATAAAAAGTGATTTTGTATTAATCATTTTTATATGAATATTTTTGGGTTGTGGAACGAATCATCTAAGTTTCCATTATTTCTTATGGGGAAATTCGCTTTGATATACAATTGCTTTGGATTACAAACACGTTTCCGGAACGAATTATGCTCGCAATCCAAGGTTTTACTGTATTTGGAGTTTGCATGTTCTCTCTGTGGTCACGTGGATTTTTCTCTGGGTACTCTGGTTTTTCCCTCCATATAAATAAACATGCATTTAACTTATTTGGCGACGATACATTTCCACGATAAGCCACTTCGTTGACCTCTCCTTTGTGGCCAGGTCGCGTCTGAAAAAGAGCTATATAGCTCAGTGGGCCCTACCTGGTAAAATGAAAATAGTTTAGTGTTACAGTTTTAAACAACTATTTATTTATAGCTAACCTGTGACTAAGAACATATAGGTAATGAGTAACCTCCAGGTAATATGTATGTAATGTGTGGCAACAGAAGCTAAACCTGTACCTCTCCAGCGACCATCCTGCTCGATCTTGATCCCAGTCCAGCCTGACACGTGCGGCTTCTGAGAGGTCACGTCTTCAGCCCTTGCTACTGCTCGGCGCTGGCTTCCTCGTGCCTTCCCTGCCACAATTCCACAAACATACACCTTAAAATTACACCAAACGTGCTAAATTTATCATGAACACAACACAAACTTCAAACCACAAAACTAATAAACAATGCAAGGTGGTCATCCACCTAGGACCCCATTCCAATAAAAAGCCCGATCTCATTTGGCTGATGAATGTTTAAAGTGAGAAGTCAGGTGCAGCTGGGGTTGGCATTGTCGTAGGTATGACATTGAATGAATTACAGTAAAACCTTGGATTGAGAGCATAATTCGTTCTGGAAACGTGTTTGTAATCCAAAGCATTCGTATATCAAAGCACTCGTTTATCAGTTGTGATCACGTGACGCTCGGCAGACAAAGCGTATACGTACTACTCGTATTGCAAGACCTCGCTCTAGATTTGAAGCTTTCATGACTGCAAGGATTCAAACTCTTTGGTTTTTTCGGTAAAGTCATGTAGGTAAGTTTAACACGTAGGCTTTCGCGACCAATATTATTCATAATAAAGGTTTTTGGGTTAGATCGCGTTTATTTATAAATGTGTCGTAACCCTCCACCACCCGACACGGCCAATCAGCAAAAAAAGTGTCACGTTGACAAAAGACAAATAATTCACTACTTCAGCCCACCGGTGTGTTGAAGAGTTAATCCACATTTACAGTTTGAGTACGACGTTTCGCTGGTAAATACTTCCAGCATCATCGGGCAATTCGCCAGAATGGTAAAGCCCTCGCTTGCTCCCGGTTTTATATAGAGCAGCAGGGTGACGTCATCACTTAACTCATCAGGTGCAGTGATTAGAGGTGGAGGGGGGGGTAATGTAATTATATAATCGATTAGTAATCAGTCATTGGTTATGATTAGTAATGAGTTGTAGATTAGTAATTCTTTAAATCAAAATGTAATGTGTATTATTTAATAATACGCTTCCAGGCTGCACTAAGCCGGTAGCTGTCAGAGCGATTAAAGTTATTCTTGTTCCTCTCAATTTCAATGGATTCTGCCATTGTCGGCAGTGGCAGAACATGCATGTCAACAAGGACACTCAATTGATTTTGACAATGTTGCAGTGGTGTGTAAAACTAATTATTACTGGCAAAGACTAATTAGAGAATCCATTGAAATTGAGAGGAACAAGAATAACTTTAATCGCTCTGACAGCTACCGGCTTAGTGCGGCCTGGAAGCGTATTATTAAATAATACACATTACATTTTGATTTAAAGAATTACTAATCTACAACTCATTACTAATCATAACCAATGACTGATTACTAATCGATTATATAATTACATTACCCCCCCCTCCGCCTCTAATCACTGCACTTGATGAGTTAAGTGATGACGTCACCCTGCTGCTCTATATAAAACCGGGAGCAAGCGAGGGCTTTACCATTCTGGCGAATTGCCCGATGATGCTGGAAGTATTTACCAGCGAAACGTCGTACTCAAACTGTAAATGTGGATTAACTCTTCAACACACCGGTGGGCTGAAGTAGTGAATTATTTGTCTTTTGTCAACGTGACACTTTTTTTGCTGATTGGCCGTGTCGGGTGGTGGAGGGTTACGACACATTTATAAATAAACGCGATCTAACCCAAAAACCTTTATTATGAATCATGTAGGTAAAATAAAATAAATGAAAACAACTAGATTAAATCACGACGTTTCGGAGGCAACACAAGCTTCCATCTTCAGGTGGAACAGACACAGAAAAATTAGCTGTATCAAGTGAACAGCTCTGGGACACACGAGATTATATACAAGTTAAGGGGGGGGGAGGAGCCAGGAAGGGACGGGGTGGGGAGGGGGGGGCTAAGTTAAGCCGCCTTTTGTTATTCTGCAGGGGGTTCTGGGGGAGGCAGTGGTGTACTTGCACGTAAAACCACCTTTTGTTATGCTGCAGGGGGTTTGGGGGGAGGGTGATGGCGTGCTGCAAGAGAGCGAGCACAATCCTGGTAGAAACGTAAATGGCTGTATAATTATAAGCCAGCAAAAGTTTGACTTGGTTGATGACATCTTTCCAAAAGTTGCTCAATTTAAAACCATCCTCTCGGTTGAAGTTTGTTTTGGCGGATAGTACGGTCAGAGTATCGTTCATCTTGAGGGCCAGATGTACATGTTTTAATTAACTGGCAAGGTGGTGTTGGTCAGAAATGCAATGAGCCCTATGGTATAATGTTTTGATGAGATAATTCTTTTGAGCCAGGTGGTGGTGGTAATCAGGCTTCAAGTATGAATCTGTGTGGGTGGACTTCCTGTAAACAGAATGTCCCAAAGAGCCATCAGTCCTCCTCTCAAACAGAGCATCCAAGAAAAGCAGCTTGCCATCTTTCTCCACTTTCATGGTGAATTTGATGGATGGGTGTCTGGAATTTAGGTGGTCTAGAAAATGGTTCAAAGCTGGGAGGCCATGTGACCAAATGACGAAAGTGTCATCCACATATCTCTTCCACAGGGAAGGACGAAGGGTGGATGTCTGGATGGCGTCTGATTCAAATTTCTCCATGAAAACATTGGCTATCACTGGTGACAAGGGGGAACCCAAAGGGGTACCCTCATTTTGTTTGTAGAAGGTACCATTACATGTAAAGTAAGTGTTGGTGAGGCAGTGCCTAACCAGTGCTGTGTCTGTTCCACCTGAAGACGGAAGCTTGTGTTGCCTCCGAAACGTCGTGATTTAATTGCGTTGTTTTCATTTATTTTATTTTACCTACGTGACTTCACCGAAAAAAACAAAGAGTATGAATCCTTGCAGTCACGAAAGCTTCAAATCTAGAATTAATGCCCTCTACGGGGAGGAATTTCACCTATCTGTTAGAGCTTTTAACAGACGAGACAAGAAGTCACAGTTCATCGAGACGCTAACCTTCCTCAAAAGATGCCGCGATAACAAGGTAATACCCATCGCTTTCACACTCACATCTGCCGCTGTATCTTCACCGAACTCTAAATGGATTTTGTTTAATGCTAGCCTATCACTAATCTCAGAGAGGATAAGAGTACTCCGATTTGAACTCGATAGTTTAGACAGGGCTCTCCTACAATCACATTTAATGTTAACACAAAAAATGTCCCCTTCTGATTGGAACCACGTTGACAACATGACTGCTGCCTCTGCTGATTCACTGTCAGTCAAATGCAAAGCTAACCTGATTGCTAAATTCAACCTCCTATCAAAGAAGAAGCCAGAACCACACATCAAAAAACTGGACGTTAACAAAATCGTTATTAATCAGAGTAACATCCCGATCTCGGACAATCTCAAAACGGTACTGGCTAAAGGGCTAAATTTCGGTGTCACCCCTAAACATATACCAGTAGAGGATATCATCTCTCAGGTCGATTGTAGCTCTCAAAGGCATAGGACACATCCAAGAAGACGTTGCGAGAGCTGAAATAGCCACTATTCTTCAGAATGCTAAGAAACCCATTAGCAACATCAGCAAAAACGAACGCTCTGAACTCGCGAATTTAAAAAAGAGGGATGATATAGTCATCCTCTCAGCCGACAAGGGCAATGCCACTGTCATTATGGATAAAAACTCATACAACAAAATCCAGCACCTACTCAATGATGTGAGTTACTCAAAAATTAAAAGTGATCCTACTAACAGCCTAACGATAAAAACCAACAAGATCATCACTAGTTTGACTTCCCTAATCAAATCAACCAAACGTACCTCCCTAAAACCCACGGCTGCAAGACCTCCCAGATTCTATGGTCTTTCCAAGATCCATAAAGAAGGTACCCCACTACGAACCATCGTGTTCACGATCAACTCCCCTACCTACAAGCTAGCCCGCTTTTTATCGGATACTCTGCTTCCCTTCACTGGCAAGACCATCTCAGCAGTACTTAACTCAACCCAATTGGTTTCTATGGTCAAGGAAACTGTACTATCTCCTGACGATATCCTCGTCAGCTTTGATGTGGTCTCTCTGTTCACCAAGATCCCAGTGCCTGACACCATAAGAATAATTGAAGATCTTCTTTGGTTCTTTCGGTAAAGACAAGCAGAATGAGAATAAAATAATAAAATAAGACAATAAATTTCTCACGACGTTTTGGCCACAACACAAGTAGCCTTCATCAGGTGAAAGAACAGAACTGTCGGGACGACAGTGCTTTAAATCTAAATAATTGAAGATTTGGTCCAACATGGACTGAACCCTGATGTACCTGCGCTGGTTAGGCACTGCCTCACCAACACTTTACCTGGAATGGTACCTTCTACAAACAAAATGAGGGTACCCCTATGGGTTCCCCCTTGTCACCAGTGATAGCCAATGTTTTCATGGAGAAATTTGAATCAGACGCCATCCAGACATCCACCCTTCGTCCTTCCCCGTGGAAGAGATATGTGGATGACACTTTCGTCATTTGGCCACATGACCTCCCAGCTTTGAACCATTTCCTAGACCACAAATTCCAGACACCCATCCATCAAATTCACCATGGAAGTGGAGAAAGATGGCAAGCTGCCATTCTTGGATGTTCTGTTTGAGAGGACTGATGGCTCTTTGGGACATTCTGTTTACAGGAAGTCCACCCACACAGATTCATACTTGAAGCCTGATTCCCACCACCACCCGGCTCAAAAGAATTCTCTCATCAAAACATTATACCATAGGGCTCATTGCATTTCTGACCAACGCCACCTGGCCAGTGAATTAAAACATGTACATCTGGCCCTCAAGATGAACGTATACTCTGACCGTACTATCCGCCAAGCTGTTTCTCCCACCATACAGAAACAACCACCTGATACTCCGATCAAAATCATCACACTGCCATACATAGCAGGTGTTACCAAAAAGATTTCCAAAATTCTCAACAAACACAAGATCCAGGTCCGGTTCAATACAGTACACAAAATCCGTGATCTGATCCCATCTGTAAAAGATGTCATTCCTGACTTACAGTACCCCGGTGTCTACAACTTGAGTTGTATCTGTGGTGACTGCTATATCGGGGAGACGAAACGACATATTTCTGACCGAATTCGCGA